GGCTGCTGGGTTTCAAGCCGTTCTCTTTAGGCCGTGCTGTCAAAGTTCCCCTGTGAGCCGACCCTGCTGATGGCCGGTTTTCTGCCCTTTCCTCTCCCAGGTGCTGATCATCGGTGGTGGCGACGGGGGAGTGCTGCGAGAGGTGGTGAAACACCCGACCGTGGAGTCTGTGGTGCAGTGCGAAATCGATGAGGTGCGTTGGGCTCCCGGCTGCGTGGAGGTGCCCCGGGGCTTTGGTCAGACCGGGCAGGCTGCCCAACAAAAAGCAGCCCTACTTCACAGCATCCACAGGAGCTGCTGCTTCACCTGCTGTCCCTTGTCAGTAGCGAGTGCATTTGCTGCCGCTTTTGCTGGCGTGACACTGACAGCGCCACCTCTTTGCCTTACGAGTCATCTACGTGGCAGCTGGCTGCCTCTTTCATGTGATTTCTTTCACACACGTATGGTAGAGGCCCTTCCAGGCCGGTATGGGCCAAGCGTGGGATCTGGAGAAGGAGAGCTCTGGCTTTGTGAAGGTGCTGCTTTTCCCTCTTCCCCCAATGCAGAACAGAGCGCTGCTCCTGCCAGAGGAGGATGGTCACTTTGTTAAGCAGTCTCCTGCGACTGAAAGCAGGAAACAAGTGGGGGGTATTTGTTTCCGTGATAGATGGGCTGGACCTCCTCCTCTCTGTCAGTTTGTTCTGATATTTTACTTTCTTAGAAAGTTTTGCTCTGTCCTCAAGGCGAGGCTGTATTAGGAATGAGAAACACTGCTATATGAGACTGTGTACCCTGTCTGCCGAGCTAAGTAGGCATATGTGCCTGGTTTTGAACAAGCACTGCCTGACACCAGCATATTTTTTTGTTTCTGCCAGCTGTGAGAAGTACAAGCTGTGTTCAGTACAATTGCTGGGCCTAGGGCAGTGGCTGTCTAACCATTGTAGCCGTTTTAGGGAGAAAACTATCTTATGAGGGGATTGATACAATGACTGTAGAGCACAGGTGGGGATATTTCTCATCTTCCATCCAGAAACCTGCTGGCATGGTTTTATTTAGGAAGGAAAAAAAAAAAAAAGTCTTTAGTTGAGATCACCTCTGCAAGCGATGTCTGCAGGGAAAAGGAGCACAGAGCAGTCAGATCTGTAATCGTATTCTCTTAGTTCCTCAGGGAGCTTTTGAAGCTCCAAGTTCTTCTTGTTGAGTTTGGCAAGGACAGACCAACAGTGTCACTGAACCCTGAGGCCATAGGAAAGGGCTGAGTGTAGCTTGTTGGCTGAAGATGCTGACAGCTCTTGAGGATCTAGCTAGGGAGTCGGATTTGTGCTGAAGGCATGGAAGGAAATGACTCATTGTGCTGTTCTTTCAGCTGCAGCTGCACAGTAGCCTGAGAAGTAGCTCCTTGTAGTGCCCGCTGACCCATTTGTGCTCTCTGTGTTGCAGGATGTGATCCAGGTATCTAAGAAATACCTCCCAGGGATGGCAGTGGGGTATTCCAGCGCTAAGCTGACCTTGCATGTTGGAGATGGTTTTGAGTTCATGAAACAAAATCAAGAAGCCTTTGATGTGATTATCACGGACTCGTCTGACCCCATGGGTAAGAATTCTGGCCATAGAAGGGTACTGCTTTCCACACCCCTCCTCCTTTTCTCTTCTGCCTGCCTCCTGGAAGTAATGCCAGCCTGTCCAGGCTCCTTTCAAGTGAAAAGACTGTCACTGACTTGGTTCTTTTGGTAGAGAAAGGGAAGGATGAAGACCAGAAAATTGTATTAGCAAGGCTTCAAGCCAGCTGTCACGTTTCTGTCCTCAAAATTCAACTCTGGCAGTTATTGCTTCTGGCAGAGAGTTGATTCTTGAGTCCAGTAATTCCACGGGGCGTACGGCACCATGCTGGCAAAGACAGCTTTGCACATGTGCCCGCTAATGAAGCAGTGGCTCACATGCTATTGGTGTAGCTACCTAGCCTAAAGATGGCTGTAGTGAGGTTGCTGTATTTCTGAAGGGGAAAACCAAGGTAGAGAGGGACCAAATGTAGTTATGGTGCCTCATTTTAGGGACCTAACGACAAGTGTCCGAGTCACTTTCACTCTTGCTATAGTTAACGCAGAGAGAGGTGTCTCTAAAAGGCAGTTTGGAGCAGGAGTTCAGTTTAAAAAATGCTCACTGAAGCAAGAGGCAGATGCTAGGCCCTTCTTTAATAAAGGTCCTGGGCTTGCTCTTGAGCAAAGCTAAAATCCTGATGATTCTGCTGTGCTAGGTGCAGGCTGGGTGCACCCAGGGTCAAAACTTTTTGCTTCCAGATTATCTGCAACACTTGTGATCACTGAAAAGCCATTTGAAATATCTATTTTTCCAGTGCAGTCCCTGTGCAGCCTGGGCATTTGGAAAACTCTCAGAAGCCTACCTTCTTAGTCTCTCTCTAGACATAATCTCTTTACTTACTTTTCTCCCAGGTCCTGCAGAAAGCTTATTCAAAGAATCCTACTACCAGCTGATGAAGACAGCCCTGCGAGAAGATGGGATTCTTTGCTGCCAAGGTGAGGATGCTGTCTCTGGGCAGAGGCTGATGCCAGATCATTGCATGCAAAGTGTGAGGCACAAAGGGGACTCTCCTCCTGGGGAGACATGACGCAGGGAGTGAAATTCATTTCAGCTCCCAAGTACAGGAGCGTTTTTGATCTGTATACATCAACTCGTTAACTGCTGGACTGTGCTTAGTAAAACTGGCATAAGGGTCTTATCTTGCCTTTGAAACCACATGAGCTGTGCAGAGTAGAGCAGGTTTGGACTTGGAATCACTGTTAACCTGGCACAGGCCTGTGCAGAGAAGAGGGGCAGCTCTCACCTTGCATCCTGTCTTCCTTTCCCCCTGTAGGTGAGTGCCAGTGGCTGCACCTGGATCTCATTAAGGAGATGCGTCAGTTCTGCAAGTCTCTGTTCCCTGTTGTGGAATACGCCTATTGCACCATCCCCACATATCCCAGCGGGCAGATTGGCTTCATGCTCTGCAGCAAGAACCCGGTGAGTTTCAGGCACCTGAAGTGCCCTTTTCCACTCTGTGAAAGCACCTGCAGAGCCTGCCTCAGGCTGTCCCTCACAGAGCTTGAGCTTGAGCTGTGTCACTGAGCTCTCCCAGCTGTGGGGCCTCTAGACTCATGCTGCGCCCCGGCTCCGCCAGCCCAGGGCCCCAGAGATGCAATGCAGCTTGCTCAGTGCTGAATGAAGTGCAGAATTTACCAGTAATGCAACCAGTTGCCTTAGAAAAGGACATGGTTTTCTCTCTAGTACAACAAACTTGGAAGGGAGGAAGGCACTACCAATTTCCAGAGCCTGTTAAGGCTTTGGCTTATTGATGCTGGCTGTTATAAAGTGGGCACCTGCTTGACAAGAGTCAGCTTGTGACTGGTATTCTGCTTGTACGGAGGCCTCCAAGTGAGAGTCAGTGTTAGGATGTGGGCTGGTAACTCTGTCAGACCACTGAGGTCTACTCTCTTCCCAATCTGCTGCGTTACCGCAAGCCTGTAATGCAACTGTCGCATTGGTTTAGTGAGCCAGCAGCACTTCTGCTGCTGTATTTTATTTATCCGGGGCACTGGCAGCCTGCGCTGTGCCTGACTTAACGCAGATGTGGATTCTGCTCTGAAGAGCAAAAGCCTTGCTGCTTAGATGCTCAGGCACAATCTGACAGCTTCATCTGGCACATGGCTCACATGCAGTCTGACCTCATACGCTGACATCTGTGAATAAGGGCTAGTCACGCGAGGTACGGAGTGTAAACTCCAGCCCTTGGGGCTGGAGCTGTGCAGAACCTTTGACCTCATACTAGAACAGAAAGTAATCTGTTTTCCTGTGAGTCCTCTTGGTTCTCTGCCATGAATCAGGATGCCTGTCACACAGCCTTTTGCTTGTTACCCAAACGCTACAAAGCTACCTGGCTTCTTTATTGCAGAACACAAATTTCCGGGAGCCTGTGCAGCAGCTCTCACAGCAACAAGTAGAGGAGAGGAGTCTGAAATACTACAACTCTGACATTCATCGGGCAGCTTTCATTCTGCCAGAGTTTGCACGGAAGGTAAGCAAGGCTGCGCTGCTATTCCTCCATCAAGGACGAGGTATGGCTTTTCTTCGGCAGGAGTGGGAGTATACAGGACTGAGGATTTCCTGCAGCCCTAAAGGCTTCTGTGAGCAAGTCGGAGCAGGACGGTATTTTGTATGACATAGCAGAGTATGAGTCAGTCTGGGAAGACTGGAGTTCACTTTGGAACTGTTCTTTGGGTTGATGTCCCATGCCTTCATGGCAGATCACTCCTACTTCACCTAAAAAAACTAAGTCCAAGAGCCTGCAGAACTGGTGTTTCTTATTGGAAAGCTCCAAAAGTCTTAGATAAAATGTGGTTGTGGTTTCTAGCGCAAACCAGAGGGTAAAGAAAGGATGCTTTAGCGTGGTTTGCCTTCTTGGAGGATTATCTATTTCTGCATCATTCCGTCATCTCCTAACTGGGTTGCAATTGCAGGTTCCAGAAAAAACCTCCTCAGAGTGTCCTAGAGATGAAGGGAAGTGCCATGGCTGTGTTTCAGAGCCATATTTCTGTTGAGGACTGATAGAGCTGCAGCAGGTCGATCCTGACACGTTTTTGTCTTTGGCTGTCTCCAGGCCCTGAGCGATGTGTGAGCCTGAGAAGCTGCTTCCTTCAAGTTGGACTCTGAGATCATCAGTGATGTGGTGGGGACCTTCCCAGCAGACTGCAGTTTTGCTCTCCACTGTGTGGGATTGTTTAACCCTTTGCCAGCCAACATTCCTTTTGATGATGTGTTAAAGATGATGGGGCATAAGCCAGATAAGACTATTGAAAAGGTCCAGTGACTTATTGCGTGAGGTCAAAACTGTTCTTTCCAGTGCTGGAAGCGTAAGATGTCTTTTTCCTATCTCTCCTCCCTGCACCCATTCTAAATTCTCCCCTCCCTGCGCCCCCCTCCCACTCCACCTTCTTCAACTGACATGATATATTTATAACTGACACGTACTTCTGTCTGGTGATCTTCTGAAACCTGGGAAGAGTCCAGAAGAGTCACTGACTCAGCCTTAAGCACAGAGAGCGAGTGCTTTGTGGCAAAGTTAGCTTGCTCTCTCCTAATAGGAGCTCCCTGCTGCTGAGACGTTTTGACTGGTAACGGGTCTGAGCCTTCATGTCCCACTGCCCTTTTGCGACACCTGCACTGTTCTGCAGCACAGTTGGAGAAGTCACAGTGCAAACTGTTGCCATTCACAATAGGTCTCCCTCCAACCCTGATGGAGTAGCAGTATTAAACACCAGCCAGGCAGGCTGGCAGCAAGTCT